TTTTGTATTATGTGCCGTGCTGAATTTTATTGCTTAGATATTTGTGTTGCTCCATGGGACCTTTTTTCGTCGACATTTACAGACTGGCGTTAGGAAATACTCGGGCCCGAATCGGCAAAACGGTATACGGTAGCGGATCCACGTTTTAGCAAGCAACCTTTTGGACCGTATCAAAATTTTATTCGTCTTCTCCTCGGGACCATGACATTTCCGCCCACGACAGTTCCGCCAACGCGGGAAACGACAATTCCGCCACTCTATTAAAACGACTCTTCCGCCACATCGGGGTCAAAATTATATAAAACCTTTCAAATACAGTATTTTCTCGGCGTTTTCGGTATTTATAAATTCAATTAAGTTAAGTAAAGTCTAGTAATTAAGAAATTACGATGCGGGGGCTATTTTAGGCATCATCCAGGACTTTGTACCGTTTGCGCGCCAACTCTGTTTTCAAGCAAAAAATCATCATAACTTACTAACTAACCCCCATTTTGGCGGAAAAGTCGTTTTAATAGAGTGGCGGAAATGTCGCCTGTGGCTGAATTGTCGTTTCCCGCGTTGGCGGAACTGTCGTTTACGGAAATGTCATGGTCCCCTCTCCTCATCTTCAGTATTTTACAGCTTTCACAATAAAAGTGAATAAAGAAAGGGTAAAAAAGAAGAAAAAGAATTTTGTTGAAAAAAAACTGATTTGGACGCCGGCAGCACAGACAGGCACGCATCCACGTTGGTTTTCGACTTTTTGCTACATGCTTTACTCAACTTGACTGTAGACAAAGCCTCGTCAAATCAATAACAACTATTCTTGCTCCTCGCGCTGTTGGGCAAAGAAGTTATTTCAAGCCTTCCGCTTTTGCCTTTGATAATTTTTGCCGGGTTTTCTAAGCGGCGTAGCTTTTCGAGTTGCTACAGGGAGTTTATATTCTGGCTACAGCAACTAGATGTTCGCTGCCATGGGATCGAGCTCAGGATCGAAACCAGCCGAATGTATCGCGCTTCAACGTCTTTATCCAGAAATTAAATAAGGCTTTCCTAATTTTGAAGTTTAGTTTGGTTTTAGTTTTAGTTTATGCTAGTTTTTATGTTTGCTTCCGGATTTTTATTTCTTAACATTCTTAACTTTCTTAACATAGTTTAAAGCTTTGTCTACAGTGAATTGAGTAAGGTAGTAGAAATTTTCCAAAACCAGCGTGGACGCGTGCCTTTCCGTGCTGCCGGCTAGCTAAGCTAACTCTTTTTTTCTTCAATAAGATGCAATTTTATTTTGAAAAACTGTAACTTGCTGAAGATTAGTCAAGCTTTTTTTATACAGTCCAAAAGGTTGCTGGCTAAAACGTGAAAACGCTACCGTATACCGTTTTGCCGATTCGGGCCCGAGTATTTCCTAACGCCAGTCATTTACAGAATCATTTCAGGAGTGCGGCTTCAAATCGAACGTTGGCAGCGACAAGCTGATGTCGAGGAGCATCGTCAACCACACGCTCACCCACATAACCTACCGCTCCATTTAGATGCGCCGGTTTGTGCTTTGGAACTGCCATCATTAACTTTTTTTAGTCTGCGCCTACCCGGCCAAGAACCGTTCTTCGTTCTATCGACGTGTCAACGTGGACCACAAATGTGGGGACAACATAGTTCTCGAGACGTAATTACTCTCTGATTTTCGTAAATCAGCTTCAGCACCGCCGAGTTTTACGATGAGCTGATGTCGAAGTGTATGAACAACTTTTCACTGTCGAAGGAGGTGCTGAGGGGATGGCTGAATCGCTTCGAGCCGCGCAATTCGACCGACTGGAATTTGCCACTGAATAATCAGCAGCTCAATTATTACATCGATGACGACACTGATCCTCAGGTATGCTTTATTATGATAGCTTTATGTTTATTACGTAATTTTCAGCAGCCCAGCACCTCTGCATTGTGGCCATCTTCATCCAGCCATGAACCAGTAATACATTCGTAGTTTCTGTAAGTCCCCTTTCAGGTGCCATTCTCGGATCTATTCCATGTGTTCAACGACCTGCCCGCCAATGCTCCTACCGAACATAAGCTCGTCAAGCAGGAGCCAGTCACTAGCGGTTTGGGAAAATGTTGTGCTTCAATTTTTTTTTAGAAGTTGGCAGCAACGCCGCCACCGCCGCTCCTTTCCGCGGGCCCGGCAACCAGCAGTGTTCCAACGATGTGGCGATCTTACGAAACCGGTTGGCTCAGGTATGGTTTACAAGGGTTTTGAGTGGGGTTGATTTCTAACCGGATTTATTGTTTCTTTTCAGAGCGAGGCTCGCGCGGCGGCAGAGATTGCAGAGCTGAAGGCCATGCTCGAGGTGAAGGAGCAAGAAAATCGGATGCTGCGCACCGAATTGGTAAGCTTTGATTTCTTCGGAATTTCATTGTCAATCGTTTTGCTAACTCTTTCCATTTAGGCGGATGCTAACAGCACTCAGACGCGTATCGAGTTGCAGCGAAAGGAGTGAGGAGCTGGAGTGAGAGATGCGTCATAAGCAAAAATTTCGAGCTGGTGGGTTTTTGGGTAAGAGTCCAGAAACCCCCCCCAGCCGGCACCAACTTTTGTATCTCGGCCCCCCTTTGTGCTAGCGAGCTCTAAAGTATACCAAAATGTTCGCCGTAGGCTAATTAGTAAGACTACATTGCAGTTTAGTCGAAAAAAGTAGTGAAAAATAAAAATAAGGAAGGTAGAAAAGTTGAAAAGTCGGCTGGGGGGGACGTTTCCTAGACTTGAGCCGGTTT